AACACTGGGTGGATTTTTATCATTATAGGGTGGTTGTGTACACACACTGCCAACACACATTTCAGTTCAAACAACTTGTAAAAGTACATGTAGCATCCTATGACCCCTTTAAAAAACTAATATAAAAGACAAAAGCAATTAACAAAAATTCTTTTGAACCTAATAAATTAAAATGGACATTAAAACAAAGATTACATTAAAAAAAAAACTTGGTACAATACACCTTTTCCTTTCATCATCTCAGACATATTTATTCAGCAGAGCCTGATATTTTGACACTACATACAGTCTATTGAGGAAAATCCACTTTTCACTAGAAAGTGAAAAATTATGGTTTGTGGCTGTTTCGATATACCACAAGTATTTGCATAGTTATACAGGAAATCGTGCCTCTGTGTTTTGGTATATATAAACACTAGGACAGGAAATTATGCCTTGCTAAAGGTTGTCTAGCTTTTCACACTATGACTGCACTAACATCTTTTTAACCCTGAGTTAAGGCCAATGTTAACAAAGAGTCAGCAACATGTAACGTTTTTAAACCTGGGTTATGAAACCCAGACTAAAGTACAGCAACAAAGGTTTAGAGTATGAATTACCAACCCATAATAAAGTATGAACAACAATGTGAAAAATAACACTGGGTGAAGTCATGTAACACAGGATGTATATCATTTTTATCTTACTGTAAATTGCAATATTTGACACTAAGCACAAATACAAGCACCACTCATGCAACAGCTGGCCTTTCACACACACACTTTCTGCCAGAAACTTTGAAAGCAGTGAAGTGTCACAGAGCATGAGGCATGAGTAATTGGCTCATCATTGGTCATGTGTCCATTCAGATATGTGTCTGATTCATTAGACTCAGTACAATGACCTAGTGTGCCTCTAGTGCATGCCATATTGAACTACTGACGTCACGACTGCAAGCCAGCCATCCACAACTGTGTATTGCATTGTCATCCTAATGTGAGCCACTCTTTATATCACACACAAAGGAAATGGTAGACTTATATATTTGACGTAGTACAGCACTGTAATGTTAATTATTACCTTGTTACCGCACTTGGGGCTTCGTATTAGTACCAGTCTGTGTTTCTTCTTAAAAGGACTCTTTAACTCGTGGCAAATGTCGTAGTTGCCCAAGTCCAGTTTCTCTAGGCATGTTGTCAATTCCTGCAAGACAGGGAAAAATGTTCTAATTTGTAAAAGGATAAATCAGAGGAAAATTGTATTGCTCAGAGGTTGTTCAATGGCGTTTTATTTAAAGGAATAGTTCACCCAAATATGAATTTTTTTTTTCTTCCATGGAAAACATGGAGATAGTTAGCAGAATGTTCTCACTGCATTAAGGACTAAAATATTCAATGACTTGTGCACTACATTGCGATTTGTTGAGACTATATTTTTTTAAGCTTTGTGTTAGGAACAAACCCAAAAATCGTGCCTGACCACTGTGGTCACCATTCACTTTCATTGTATAAAACAGAGCAGCTTGGGCATTCTGCTAACTCCTTGTGTGTTATACAGATGAAGTGAGTAAACGGAGACAGAATTTTCATTTATTGGTATTACCTTTGTCTCAGATGCAGAGTTATTATCGTAACTAAAACTGAAACTATTAAAAACATTTTTGTTAATTAAAATGAATCTGAAATAAAATAAAATATTATATATCTAATATATTAGATAAAAAACAAAGTAAATAAAAACGACAAATGTCGACCTTAAATAAGAGCATTAAAATCACTAACTGAAAAGCTTAAAAAGTAAATTTAAACTAAAACTGAAAAAAAAAAATGTAATCATAATTAGTAATTTTTAAAATACACACATAATTCCTAAACAATTAAACTAAAAATATAAAAAAACATAAAATGAAAGCTAATTCTTAATAAAAAAAATATAATAGTATATAAATAGTACTAAAATAACACTGCTCAGATGTTTCTTCAAAAATTACTTATGAAAAACTACAAAAAAAAAAGAGTTCATTGACATACTTTAAGAGTACAGAGCTATAAAACTCAGTGTATACAAACAAATGTCGTTTAAGAGATCTAATTTGTGATTTTGCTTTGTTATGTCTTCATATGACGGTAGATACTTTAGTATAATGTGGTGATTTATTTATTCTGTGAAATAATTTGGCAGAGAAAAAAAATAAATTTAAATGTTTTGATAATGATAGATGGCTAAAGATGAATCTAAATTCGTTCTGCTTAGCAATAATGATTAATCTCAGCTTTGTAAAAATAAATTGTACAAACTGATGTGAAAATCAACATGTAATCAAAACTGACTGAACTTAATTTCTTAATTGACAATCCTTAATTCATCAGTGCACATTATTAA